CCCTTCCCCACCCCCTTCTCCCCCTACAAGAAAATTAAATATGAAGTAAAAGATATACTAGTCATGGCATTTGGTGCAAGCATGACATTAACCCAAGAACAAGCCAGGGCAAATGGCAAAGAACAGGGAGACGAGACAGAAGGGAAACGACACAGCAGCAAGGGGGCTGTGGAAGGCAGAAGAAGGAACGAGGGTGGGAGGAACGATCGACACAACAAACCCCTTTGAATCAATTCGTGGGAGGCAGCAACTCATGGGAGGAGGCGAGATCAATTGGAAGGAGGAAGGTGGAAGGAGGAAGGAGGGTGGGAGGCGTGGGAGGAGACGAGATCGATTGGAAGGAGGAAGGAGGGCGGGAGGCGTGGGAGGAGCTGTTGCCTGTTGAAGTTTGAGGAGAGGGCAAAAATGGAAGAAGACCCCTCTGAATCATTTAGGGGAGCCCTAACCCCTAAATCGTTAAGAGCCTTTTGTAACCATTAAGAGGTTCTTGTTTTTGTCAAACAACCCTTACCTCTTACTGATTAAGAGGTTGACTCTTAATGCCACCATTAAGAGCCAAACAAATAGCTCCTAAGTCTTAATAGTTCATATGACTATATGTTTTGTTTTATCAGACATAATTTTAAATGTAATCATATGACTGTTATACCAACGCTAATCATGTAATATGCAATGATAAGATTTATGTCAAGTCATGAGGAATTTTGTTGACTCACTTATTAAAGTTTTTGATAGAAAATTGATGTTTGTTGTAACTTGAGATACGAGACTAAGATCACTATAGTTTCGTAGAAGTCCACATGTGGTATGACCTGTCTATCTCAATGGGTTCAACCCGACCAAGCCTAGTTAAACAGGTTGATCATAAGGGTGAATTTCACCATCAACGCCACCTTTAACATAAAATGATCAAGCCCCATTGTTTTACAATGATCAGTTTGATAAACAAAACAACTATCAACTAACATGACAATTTGCTTTGTTTTTTTTGTTTCTACAACATAAAAAACAACTTATATGTGATTTAAATAACATTTACATCCTTGATCAATTTGTTCATTAATTAGAAAAGAACCAATATCAATATTAGCATAAGTGTTTTGATTGCAATGTCATGATAGTTAGATATAATTAATAAACGTTCTTGTTTATAAGATGTATATATATATATATATATGTGTGTGTGTGTGTGCGTATATGTATATATAGAGAGTTTGTTTCACATGCGATCCATCGCATTTGTACAACCAATGCAACCTAATAAATTGAAATATTTATGAAAATGATGAGAGTTCACTTATTATGATTTAAATATTTATGGAAGATGAATAAGCTTCATTGATTATGATTAATATTTTATATTAGAAAACAATTAGAACTTCTACGAAATTACATATTTATCAAATTAAATGGACGGTTGAGATTGAGTTGTATTGGTTATACAAATGTAAGGGGTTATATAATAACCCCCATATATATATATATATATATATAGAGGAGTGATCAAATAAAAACCACCCTCATTTGTGTAAACCGTGCAAACCACCTTCATCCGTCGATTTCATTGTTTAATCTTATGAAATTTTTTCATGAAATTGTTTAA